AACAAGAACAAGAACAAAAGGTGTCGGGTTTGGTATTGATATATATATATATATATATTATTATTTATATCAGATTTGATGTTACTATGTTATTTATATGGGTCTTTTTATATTCCCTTTTCTAGGCTTTTGGTCGCTTAGATCAAAAAATGGGTGTATTTTTCCATGAAAAGAGACACGTCCCTTTTTTATTATTATTATTATTATTATTATATATATATATAGGGATGTAACCAAAATGTATAACACAAGTTAATTATAAAAATACACTCAAAAAATGAATATCTAATTAGCTTTTGAATCTTCTAATTAGCTTATAAAAATGCACCATTTGCAGGGACCATTGACTAATTTAGCAAGCTAAGTAAGCTTCTAATGGGGCACCCCAATTAAACCAAAAGTTCTTAGCTTTAACATCACATCTCCTATTATAATTGATTAAAGGATAGAAAACAAAGAAAGGAAAACCAAAAAAGGGGCTTTCTCATAAGGGTTGTGTTTACTTTTTGTTTCTATGTATGAGCAAAGTGGAAGTTGGGCTTCCACTTTGGCCGTTGAATTTCATGCATGATGGAGCGTTTTTCATGGCTATCAACTCAACTCACGTTGGTTGGAAAGGAGAACAAGATATTTTTTTTTATAACTGCGTAGAAACCTCTTCCTAGTAAACGCGTTGTCTAAGAAAAAGTCTAAAAAAGACGATATCTACTACACTCATTATGATCGTATTGCATGCATGGAACGCTTCCAAAATTACTCAATTTGATTTGGAAAGTGACTCAACTTTTTTGCAAAATCTTGTTGCTGTCGGTCGCTGAAAATGACCCATCAAATTCAACACTTATGCATCCACAATAAACTTCTTGCTCCGACCAACCACATACAAAATCACTATTTTGTTTTCTTAATCTCTGTTTCATATACACTTTTTTACATATCAATGCCCCTACCAATCCTATCGAGATTAATAAATTTCACGTGACCCAACGGTTATCAAACGGGTCCTATATATTTTCAAATATAAAATTAGGTCAGAAATGACATATCGGGTAAAAAGTTTGAAAAGTGTAAATAGCAAAAATTCAAGGGTTCGAATCACGACCCGTGAAAATCAAGAAATTTAACAAGGAGATTGATTGATGGAACAAGGAAATGAGATAAATATGTATATAGAAGAAAAGGGAATGGGACATGAAAAGTTTAGGTATCTTTTTATGAGGGGACAACAAAAGAGGGGACAAAGGAACGGAGTTTTGCAGTTGGAAGTTGAGGCATCTTAGGGTGTGCGAGGTTTTGTGAAATAAGAGAGGAAAAGGGAAGGCATCTGATTTTGTTGGCAGTAAGTGTTGTACGTTTTCTGGTATTAAACCCCTGTCAACTCATGAATGCTTTATATAGTAATAACTCACGTCCCAAATTATTATAACGAGCGGATATTGTCTGTTATGGCCCTTTATGCATTGTATGTCAGTCTTAAGATAAAAACGTGAAGTTAAACCTTTTGGTCTCTTGACCGAAGAAGATGAACGAGTTGAAGTTGTTGGCGTGGTTTAATTTATTAACCATGCACGCAAGAAATAAGCAAATAATCCACACGCTTGAGATAATAAGAAAACTAGTAACATAAATCGATATCAAAGTGAACATGAGGTAGGTTGTTCCGAGTAGGGAAGATATTAATTAAACAGCCCGCTTCAACATTTTTTAAAATTTAGAGATTAAACATATCAAAATTTAAAAACTTATTATATTTGTTAATAATATTCAAAACGATTATAGATTAAGTAAAAGAATTTTATAGATTTTTGTTTAAGTGTCAAATCCACTTTTGAAAAGCAGTATTATTAGTTAGGTAAATTAATCAACATCGTGATTAATTAAAAAAAAGTCTTGAATTTAGTTTTATAGATATAATTTAATATATATAAATACCTTTTTAGAGGTCAGAAATGAAACACATAATAGCATTTGATTTGTTAATAATATTTAGACCCATTTTTAAGTGTAATCAACTATGACCCATTTCCACTTGCAATTAGATTAACAGACCGGGGCATGTGCTTGGTTGCTCATCAACATACTTTTTCTATATAGATATATATATATATTATAAAGTTCAAGTTACTAATTATTTACCTATTTAATTTCACACCGACAACTTTTCTATTAAAAAAATAGTATGTATTAGATATAACTCGAGCATAACACAAATGGATAAGATGTTCCTTAATGGTGGAGCACATGTTGTTTTAAACTTAACGACAAAGTTCCTTTCATTCGAATGTAGTCTTAATTTATTCATGTATCAGTTCTTTAGTTAGATGTGACATAAAATTTTTAATATGAAAATCGATAGTCATCTCACGTGATTGAATCGATGAAAATGTCTGAATTTGAACCATTTGATTGCAAATTATAGGGACATTAAATGCATGTCCCCCATTTTGTTTCTTCCTATCTTACTTTGTTTGTGGTCCATAACACAATTAAATGTATATCTCTCACGAAGAAAGAACACATGAACTTTTTAAACAACTTTAGTAAATTAATCAAAGTTTTAGTAGTAAAAAAAGAAAGAAAATTTGCATATAGATTGAATGGTGAAGTCATTTTCAAAACTTAATAGTAAGTTTGAAAAAAAAAAAAAAAAAACACATCCAAAAGAGAGAATGACAGTGATGGCCCCTCTCCCTCTCTACCTTTATTTCATTCTCTTATATCAATGTCTGTTCTAATTAATATCACCATATTTTCATTAAGTTTTTTTTTTTTTTTTTCCAAGGAATTTGTTTTAGGCCTCTATGGAGACATTATTGTGATAGATGAGACCTAAACTTAGCTTGGTGGTTTAAGTTGTAATGATGTTGAAGCTTTTAAGTTTCAACTTTGATAATCTTTACTTGTTTGATGGATGATTGTCTCATGAACTCAACACATGAGAATGGAGACTTCGTAACATCGCCCCCACAACCTAAACCCTATTGATCCTAAAGGAGAAACGAATAACAAGGAATAGGCTTACGTCCAACTCATGTGTCAAACCCTAAAGATAAGGTTGTGACCCACCTTTGTGGGTCAACCACAATGATTGTTTGGTGGATTAGCCACAATAAATGTGAGTCGACCCGACCCGACCCAACCCATAAGAGTTGATCATGGGTCGAGCCAACCAAAGTCGGTTAACCATCAATCTAGCTGATCCATATAGGTCAATCAAAGTAATAGTTGAACTTCAGAGGTCTAATCTTGTACCTGTCTAGAACGTCTCAAAATTTCTGGTGAGATTCTTGGTCGGTAAATGATGAGAGATGATTTGAAAAGGGTATGCGAGAAATGACATTGATAAACGAGCTTGTGGTTAGTTGTGTGCATAAATGCTAAGGTTGTGGTTAGTTGTGTGTATAAATGCTTTGTGCTAGCTCATGATGGGAGAGCACCCTGAACCCTTAACCCTAAACTCAAAATCCTAAACATTTCCGTAGCAAATGCGTTTTAAAATTTTGAGATTGACAATGATACGTAATAGACTAATGCAAACAATATCTATTAACGGTGGACTTGAGTTATTACTAGACGTATCCAAATTATCCATGAATAAGATAAAAAGAGTTGAATCCAAAACCACACTTCTTCTATCACAATATCTCACGGCTCCTTCGTGGTTTGTCCAAAAGTTGAGTATAGTACCATCACCAATCAAACTGATATCAAAAACAAAAAAATGTCGGCCCCCTCTCCTCTTCTTCTCGCCGAGCTTCAAACAGGTACGCCATGAGAGAAGTGTCCAATGGCTTCTTAACTTTTACTTATCTCTTCTTTTGATTGTTTTGGTTAATGGGTTTGTTTTAGGTTTCCATTTCAATATCTGGGTTATGGATTAACTTTGAGAATGTCTTTAAAATTTTCATCTTTTTGTGAAATTGACTTACTCTTCCCCGTAATTTGCCCGTAATTCGCCCAATACCCCCAATACCCTTTCGATCGAATCTTCTAGCAATCTTCTAGCAATCTCTCATTCTCTTCGTTCGATTTTCTTCATTTTTCTTTAAAGTTCATATTCTTATTGTGCACAAATCAAAAGCTTTGAAACCATCTGTATCATCGTAGATTTTCGATCTTACATTGAAAGCTTCATATTAATAAAAAAAAATGTAGCTTACATAGAAAAATACAAGTATTTATATAGAAGAATTTGTATTATCATAGTCCTACATTCCATTTATAAAATATGGAAGTAGTTGAAGAAAAATTGAATATAATTCAAATCAAATATGTCAAAAACTTTGTGGAACTCCATAAGCTCTTATATTTGACCTTGCATTAGATTCAACAATATAGTATATAGTCTATTACCAAAGTCTATTTCTATGCCAACTCAACAAATCATTTACTATTATTTTAGTTTATGATGATATGACATTATAAAACTACTACTCTCTACTCTAATTCTGCAACCAATAAAGAATTTCATAAAGAGAACTCTCTTTTAAAATTATTCTTCAAGAACATTTGTTTTAAAGAACTAGTTAAACTATTTTTTTTTATATTATGAGAAATGTGTTGAAGGATTCAATATATTTTTCAATGTAGTTTGTGTTTGATACTGTGACACTTGAATAAATGAATGATATATGAATGAACCGAGACCACATTCGAATGAGAGTGTCAGTGAAGATGTTGGGGTTTGAAGGACGGTGGATTGTGAGATCTCATATCGATTAGAGAGGGAAACGAAACATTCATATAAGGGTATGAAAACCTCCTCCTAACATACGAATTTTAGAAATCTTGAGTGAAAATTCGAAAGAGAAAGCCCAAAATTCCAAAAATTGTGTGATCACACTTCCTCAACCTCTCCAATATGTGAGTTGACCGTTGACCGTTGACCTTACTAACTCCTCTATAAAAACAGTTTATGGAATAATTTTTGTGATCGGTACAATAGAAAAAAGAAAAAGAAAGAAAAGTCCATTAGAGTTATCAGCAGAATTAAAACAGCATTTTGAGCATAAATAATGGTGTTTTTTCTTCGTATTAGCTGAAAATTTTTACATCCAGTCTCAACTCTCCCCAAGACAACAAACCAAATCCTGTTCTTCACTGTACAACAACCAATCCAGACAACAACCAAAACTAGAATAAAGAACAAAATTTGTTTGAATTACACTAAGAACAACAAATGGGACAACGAATTAACCCATTTTCATTACAATCAGGACACCGCTGGAATCCGCCCTCTTCGTCTTCCTCCTCTTCACCTTCTTCATAGTAAATTTTGCAGCTTCCACAACACCTCTCACATGGCACAAACCTCACTTCCCTACAACCCTCACAACACCCACCCCCGCCTCGGCTGACGCCACTCTCTCCGCCTACCCCACCGCCGCCCTCCTCCACTTTCTCGCACCCTTCCAGTACCTTCTCCAGCTCCCCATCTTCGTGCAGCCTCCTAATTTCCTCTGCCCCACCAATGTACGTTTCTCCCACGAACACTCTCGGCAGTCTGCCGCCGTTGAACCCTTCCCCTAGTAGCTCCTTTAGCTCCTGTTTGAACCCTGAATCCATCGATACGTCCCGTTCGTCCACTCGAGCTCCCATGGATCTCAAAATCATCCTCACCTCACAACAGTCCTCGTATGTCTTTCGAATCCCTCTCAGGCTCGTGAAGTACACCACAACTTTGTCTTTACCCGGTGATTCGTCCTCCGGTGGCCGGAGATGAAATGGGTCCTCCTCCTCCTGAGGAAGCTCCTCTAAGGATTTCCTAAACGAAGATATCATATCAGGGTCCAAATCTGAAACCCAACAATGAAACAGAGGAATCCAGATTGTTATCAATAAAAGATTTATACTTTGAATTGAGATGAATTTCAAACGGAAAAATGATTATTACCCGTTTCTTGAAGCCAGAATGGTTTGTAGGGAGTGAAGGTATCGTTAATTTCCTTCAAATTTGAATTCCCCTGTTCTAAGGAAACACATATCGGATTTGAACTGACATCGAAGGAGAAGCTTCGAGGTCGACATATCGGACGGAAGGGACTATTGTCATCGAGGCCTTCCATGACTTCCCAAACATTAATGGTCTCCGGCTCTCCGGGCGGCGTCATGATCGGAGTTTTGGGGGCAATTTTGGGAATTTTGTCATTGATCATATTGGACCAAGTTTTGGCCTCAATTAGCCCCATGGAAGCCTCATTCTTGATTGCGTTGTTTTGGGGGTAGAGAGGCTCATCAACATCAACGGCGGTGTAGATTTTGTTGTCGAAGTGAATGTTTTCGAGCTTGAGAGAACCGAGAGTGGAAGAGGAAAAGGCAACGACGTGGTGGCTGTCGGGTTGCAGCGGCGGTAGAGATTGGTGGGCATGAAGAGAGTTGCTTCTTTGAGTCATTGAGTTCCGGCAGTGGGGGCATCGCTTCTGCTTAGAGGTAGCACAACCCATTAGAGGAAAGAGGAGACACCAAAACAGAGGAATTTGGGAGAGAAATGGGAATGAAAAGGGAGAAGAGGACAAAATGGGGAGAAAAGGAATGGGCTGAAATTACAGGCTTGAATTGAGGAATGTAAAGATCAGTGGGAAAAGGGGGTTCAAAGTCAAAGGAAGGAGGGCTTTTATTTAAATTTAGGGGCCACTTTGTTATTTCATACTGCCCTTAAACCTCAACCACCTCCGACCTTAGTGACCGAGAGCGACGCTTTATGGGTCGGAATCGGCGTTCAACGTCACGGGGCGGCCGACCATTTTTTCTTTTTCTTTTCCTTTTCCCGCAAATGACTATGAACTCGGTCAAATGAAGAAGAAAATTTCCACCAATCAAATCTTTTTCTTTTTATGTAGATTTTTAGGTTTGGGGTTGGACCCTCTCTTACCATTTGTAAGAGCCCAACTTTGACGATTGGCCCGGTCACACTAGTCGAAATAGGTGAGCCAGTTGTCAGATGGTTTGAGACACTGGTTGTACTAGTTACATTGGTCAGAATGAGGTTGGACCCTATGCTTTGGTCACACTAGTTGATGTATTGTTGGACCTATCAAAACCAGTTGTGAGGCTTTAGTCGCACTAGTTGAGTAGTAGGATTGGACCCTCTCTTACCATTTGTAAGAACCCAAAGAAGCACCGTTCGACGACCAGCTCTGGTCACACTAGTTGAAGTAGGGTTGGATTTTCTCTTATCATTTGTAATAGTTCAAGCCCACCGCTAGTATATATTATTCATTTTGGGTTTTTTGGGTTTTCTTCGACTTAAACTCTCAGACAATATCAAAATGATTGTTTTTAAAAAAAAAACTAAATAAATTGGGTAATTATGGAATATTCCAAATCTTTTATTAATTAGTAAACAATTTTTTTAAAAATAATAATAATAATAACGTGCGTGCTACTTCCACGAGCCAATGAGCTCAAAACCGGGAGACCGTTTGGTAATGGGCAGCGTTGAACGACCTACTTTAACAATCCTTTTTGAATTAAATGGGTATTTATTTATTGACATATTGACCATATAAATAAAAAAATTATTTTTTATTTTCAATTGACCCGATTATTTGGTGGCTAAATTAAGATGAATTCGAAAATTAAAAATATGACATAAATAAAAATAAAAATAAAAATAAAAAAGAGTTAGTGGCTGAATGCACGGAATGTCTGTCAGCTTTTTTATTTAATCATTAATTAATTAATTAATTAACTAATCTCAAAATATAATTTTTACTCACTTTCATGGATTCCCACTGTGTATTTCTTTATTATTATTATTATTATTATTATGTTCTAATTTTGAGGTGGATTCAATTTTGTCCGATCCAATCATCACTATCATTTCAATATTTACATTAAAATGTTTACTTTGCATTAAAAATAAAATAAAATAACTATTAAAAAAACGATATAATGAACCAACCATAACAAATAATGTTGATATCAATACGAGCATAGTTGATATCTCCTGCCGCAACATAACCATGGGCCTGTAACTTTATGTTAAATTGGATGGGTACCTATGTATATGTAAAGCCCAAATAGTTGCTTAAGCTCACTGACTTAGGCTTGGCCCAAGAAAGGCCCACACTTTTTAAAAAAACGAAATATATTATTTTAATTTTCTTTATAGCAATGTGGACAAAGGGCTTCATGCATGTATTTGAGATATGTCAATCATCAAAGCTTTTAAGAAATTAATCATAAAGTTTTTGAATCATCATATAAAGTATACAAAAAAGGGAGCATAAAGTCAAAGCTTATATATATGAATCAATTCATATGCCTTTTGCCATTGCCACTCTTAGCCAACCCTATGATTTTCTTGCACCCAATAATGTCTTGTCAAAATAATTCATGATGGAGACAACGAAAATCATAACATCATCTGAGAATTATACCATAGTTTCTCTATTTTGGGATAACGAAAGTTATCCAAATCCCGTATGTATAGGTTTCGAGTCAGTTTGTTAGCAAATGATAAGATTAGAGAATACTATGAAATAAAGAATTCGTCTATGAACTCACGAACGTATTGAATAGAATGTCAATACGTCACGATCGATTTTCTTGACGTAAATGAATTGAATTTGGGAGAAGAAAGCGGAGAGTGGAGGGAGGTCCCGTAATAAAAAACTATTCCAACTGTTAGAGAATAGAAGAAGCACGTTGTAGTGAAGAGAAGTTTGCAGCTAAGGCTAAACAAAGAGAGAGAAGGGCAAAAGCACATGGGAAGAAGAAGAAATCCACAGCTTTCACTCCATAGGGGCATGCAATTGCATCCCCTAAAACTTGCTGAAACCCACATGTGAGCAGCTTCACTACAAGCCATTTTCTTAGGACCCATCCCTCTCCATTTCCCACAAACACTCCATTTTAAGTGTCTCCCCAACTCCTTGCTTTTCCCTTCAATCATCTCTTCCAACCTAATTTATTAACCAAATCTACATTAGTATTGACATCCCACGTTCGCTGGAGAGAAGAACGGATCATACATTATAAAAGTATAGAAACCTTTAACTATGAGTGGTCAATTTATCTATAATATTCAATTATTTTCATTCTAATATTCCTACCCAACCGATTATTTTTTTAATACAACTCTTGCTAGCTAGAGATTCCATCATTAGGCAATAACACTGACTTTATAGCTTAGTTCCCAAATAAAATATGTAAACATAGGATTAGTTGAGACATGAAAGCATATAGAAATGATAATATTAATAAATTAGATGTAATAAAGGAGTTTGGAGATCCCGAGGATAGAGAGTTAAAGGGGGTAGCCCAGCCCTAGTTTCCTCGTCGCACACTAAGGGCATTGCGTAAGGGGATGGCCCCTCATGACTGAAACCAAGAACTCTTTGCCTTTTAGCTTTTGATGACGATGATGATGATGATTTTGTTGTTAGTTCTTAATGTTTGGGCGGGCGATTTTCACTTTGTTTTTCGAGGTGTGTGCAAATTGGATAGATATGTCTACCATTTGTCAGATCGGAAGGGCTATTTTTAAAATTTTAAAAAAAAGTTGATTATTTTATGTGTTTCTTCCTGGACCCTTTGCTGCCCACCAACTATTTTTTTAATCCTTCCCATGTTGATATTCTTTCCACTCTTTAGTTTAAACATAAAGGCAAAAAGGCATAGCTCATTATTTCATTCTTTTTCTTAGCGTATTTGATTTTATAGCCTATGAGTTTGGATGGCTGAGTCTTAGGTTTTGATTAATTCTAATGTCTTTCATCGTTACTAATTAAACTTAGCTCGATAAGTTATGAATTGAGATTAACTCTTTTTAATCATGTCATGATATTTAGATTACCCATATTAATCTTATTCGAATTCGAGTGTAATTTGTTCGAGTTTTGTATTGGCAGATTAAGAGAAGAATAATTATGAGCATAGAAGTAAGGGACACTATTTATATTGATACGAGACATTTTAGAAAAACAAAAACTAAGGTTGTAAGGACTTAGATCCACTGAGAGTAGATATTGTTCTCTTTGAGCTTTTCCTTTTGAGCTTCCCCTCAAAGCTTTAAAACGCGTCTGCGTCTACTGTGGCAAGGTTTCCACACCCCTTATAAATGGTTTGTTCTCCTCCCCAACTCATGTGGGACATCACAGAGGTTTTGAGAAATTATACTTAAAGTAGACAGGTAACAATCTAAACTCATCTCTAGTAGATATTGTCTGATTTGACCGGTTACATATTGATGACCGTCTCTTAAAATGTATCTACTATGGAGAGGGTCTAGCCCTACGCCGGACAGTGCGAGATTAACTCTAACACTATTTGTAACAACATAAACTTGCCGCTAGCAGATATTGTATGCTTCAGCTCGGTATGTATTGCCATCAGCCATATGCATTTTAAAATCATGAGACAGACAACGATACGTAACGGGATAAAGTGAACAATATTTGTTAGTAATGGCTTGAACTGTTACAAAGGGTATTGGAGTCAGATACCAGGCGGTGTGACAATGAAGACGCTGACCCTTAAAGTGGAAGGGTTGTGAGATCCTATATCGATTGAAGAGTGGAACCGAACATTTCTTATAAGGGTGTGAAATTTTTTCTTCAGTAGGAGACATTTTAAAATTGTGAGACTGGCAACGATACGTAACGAGTTAAAGCGGACAATATCTGCTAGCGGTGACTTGAACTGTTACAAAGGGTATCAAAGCCAGATACCAGGCAGTGTGACAACGAAGACGCTGATCCTTAAAACGGAAGGGTTGTGAGATCCCATATCGATTGAAGAGTGAAACAGAACATTTCTTATAAGGTGTGAAAATCTTTCTCTAGTAGAGACGTTTTAAAATCGTGAGGTTGACAATGATACGTAACGGGCTAAAGAGGACAATATTTGATAGTTGTGGCTTGAACTGGTACAAAGGGTATCAGAACCAGATACCAAGCAGTGTGACAACAAAGACACTGACCCTTAAAGTGAAAGAGTTGTGAGATCCCATATCGATTGAAGAATGGAACGGAACATTTCTTATAAGGGTGTGAAAATCTTTCTCCAGTAGAGAGGTTTTAAAATCGTGAGGCTGACAACGATACGTAACGGGTTAAAGCGAACAATATCTACTAGCGGTGGCATGAACTGTTATAAAGGGTATCAGAGCTAGATACCGGGTAGTGTGACAACGATGACACATACCCTTAAAGCGGAAGGGTTGTGAGATCTCATATCGAGTGGAATGAAACATTTGTTACATGGGTGTGAAAATCTTTCTTGGATAGACATTTTAAAATCGTGAAACCGACAACGATAAGAGTAGACATATTGAAGATGGAGATGATTGGTTGGTGAAAAGATGAATAAAAATGTGATCTTTGAAGCTATAACGTGGTATACATGTGAGAGGGAAATTAGAGAGAGAAAGAGAGATCCATATCATGGGATGGGTCAGCTCATCCCTTCCATGACAAAAATATACAGCAAATTCACACACCTTCTCTCTTCTTTCTCGACCTAAAATTCGCTGTCTTTCAGACTCCTCTGCCTTTTCCATCCATTACCCTTCTCTCTCTCTCTCTCTCTCTCTCTCTCTGCAAAAAATCTATCTTCTCACCAT